AATAAATATTTAAATAAAAACAAGCTGCTGATTATTTCACATTTTACTTGTGAGCAACGGCACATTTAAATCTTACAAATATAGTTATTTGGCTGATATCGTGATAGATATCGTTATCGCCTGAAATGAAAAAAACATATAGTGATATGAAAAAATCTTATATCGCCCAGCTCTAGTATATTATAATTATAATGCTATCATTATTAGTAGTAGTAATCTGGAGGCCGATTCGATTCACCGGCTAACCTGGCTCTGGTCGTTGACGCTGTGAGGGGAAGTACGGTGGCCGGCAAGAAGAAACGCGCTGGTAGTGCGGGGAGCTGCAGCCATGGAGGGGGTCACCGTCGGCCAGGTGTTTGACGCGGAGTGTATCCTCAGTAAGCGGCCCAGGAAGGTAAGCTCAGCGCCGGTGGCCCGGGTGTTGTGTGGTTCCGCTCGGCCCGGCCCGCTGTGACTGTTCTGTCTCCGCAGGGAAAGTTCGAGTACCTGGTGAAGTGGAGAGGATGGTCCTCCAAGTAAGTAGCTCGCTAGCTGCTAACGGCTAACGGTCATAACAAAGCCGGGCCGCGGCTCGGTTCGCGCCGCCACCGAGGCTCCTACCGCGGCACACGGGGGGAGAAGCACGCCCGGCGTCGATCCACGGCCTGCCGGCGGACACGTCCAGCTCCAGGGCCGCAGCAGCTGAGGCTCGGCCGGTCCTGCGCCACCGAGCAGCCTGATGTTGATTTGCTGACATGTTTTGTATTTGTGGATAACGCTGGCAGCTGTGCGTGGGCCTCCGTGATGGCTCCACACAGAAAACCCGCTCGTGTCCGTCCTGAATGTGAAATGTTTGTCGTGTTTTCAGGCACAACAGCTGGGAGCCCGAGGAGAACATTCTGGACCCCCGGCTGCTGGCAGCCTTTCACAAGAGGTCAGTTTGTCCCCAGACTGCAGGTAAACTCAGGTGTGCTCCACGTCCACCTGCGTGGAAGCTCACCTGAAGGGCCTGAGAGAGGAGCAGTCAGGGAGCTCCTCCCAGCCACTCATTAGTTAAACACCTTAATATTTGTAATGTTTTTAATCATAATTTAAATAAGCAGTTAAAAGTAACTTTGTTAAGAAAGGTTGTATAGTAACAAAATTTATTTAATATTATTTAATATTTATAAAAATTTAAACACGTCATATCAGAATTTATAAATTATATATTTCATTTTACTGATAGTTATAATTACTGAAATAAAAAGTCCTGCGATTATTAGTATCAAAAAGATTTAAAATAATATAAAAATGTGTTGTCTCTAATATACATATGAATTACATATTAAAATACATGTAATTATTCATTCATTATTAGTAAACGTTACTGTCACAGTAAGATAAATGTATAGATATATATTTTAAAAAGTTAATGATGGCGTCAATAAATAAATTATTAAAAGACTAAAAATATGTATATTACGTACTTTACATATTTATATAATGTAATTAATAGATTTAATTTATTATTAAAAATATAGAAATATGTTATTATATTCTGCAGCACGGTGGTTAGCACTGTTGCTGCACAGCAAGAAGGTCTCTGTGTGGAGTTTGCGTGTTCTCCCCGTGTACTCTTGGCTTCCTCCCACAGTCCAAAGACACGCAGTTAGTGGGGACAGGTTAACTGATGAATCCAAATTGCCCATAGGAGTGAATGTGAGAGCGATTGGTTGTCTGTCCCTGTGTGTTGGCCCTGCGACAGACTGGCGACCTGTCCAGGGTGGACCCCGCCTCTCGCCCTATGACAGCTGGGATAGGCTCCAGCGCCCCTGAAAAGGATAAGTGGAAGCGAATGGATGGATGGATGTTATTATCTGTTAGGTATTTTAAATGTGTTACATATTATATGTTAATAGATTATTATTCTAGTATTCAAACAGAAATCTATGTAAATAATATATAAAATAATTAATATGTATTAAACACTAATAGTAATAATAACAAATATTCAAATTACTTTTAAAAGAATGATGTATATTGAATGTATTTAATAATAAAATTGCAATTTAATAATTATATTATGTGGACATGTAATAAATATATATTCGATATGTAATTTCATATTGATGGGTGAGCAGGCGCCCAGGTTCGAGTCCAACCTGCGGCCCCTCCCTCTCTCTGACCGCTCTCGTCTCTCGTCACTTTCATTTAAGGAAAAATATAAATATATGTACATGTAACTATTTAATTTCATATTTATGATTTTAATGAATGGAAACAAGCAGCAGAATCAAAGAAATAGACAAACTGACAGATCTTTGTCACATGTGACGCGCGTCAGTTCACGAATCATTTCACGCTTGTTTTTATGAAAGAACGACGTGTTGAATATTTGGACTTGCTGTCTGCGTGTTTAAATAACGTTTGTTTCGATCTGTTCCAGAGAACAGGAGCGCGAGCTTCTGTTTCAGAAGAAGGGAAAGAGGCCGAGAGGACGACCTCGAAAGATTCAGGTGAAACACGCCGACCCCGCCTCCTGATTCTGTCTCATGACCTCTGACCCCTCTTGCTCATCCCGTTCTGTTTCTGTTCTGCAGCCAGCGCCCACCGTCACGAAGGACGACCGCTCCTCGTCCTCCTCTTCCTCTGGCCTGTCATCAACCGCCTCCTCGTCTTCCTCAGAGGATGAAGAGCACACAAAGAAGGTGAAGCCCGCCCCCCGCGTCCACCCCGTCCCTCAGAAGAGGCCTCAGATCCTGCTCGCCAAACCTGACACCCCCCGAAAGAAGAAGCGAGGGAGGAAGCCGCTGCACCCCGACCTGAGGGCTCTAAGGCAGGCAAAGAGCCGCCCTCCCCCGCCGCCTTCTCCACCCGGTCCACGCCACCACCAGCTGCCCAGAGACGAGCCGCGGGCCAGCGTGAAGAAGCCACTGCAGCCGGCCAGCTTCACCTACACTGGCCTGAGCCGGAGCGCCAGAGAGGAGGCCGGCTCCGCCTCCCAGACCTCTTCTGCCTCCTTCTCCCAGGCCTCCAAACCCGGTGGGCTCGGCTGCATTTGGACCAATCGCTCGCTCTCAACCTCCTCCCTGTCCTCAAGCTCCACCTCCCAAAACAAAGCCACGCCCACCGCACAGAATAAGAACTCTCTGTCAGAGCTGAAGCGCTCCGTCCCGGAGATCGGCAGAGGAGACGGCTTTAAGGTGACGCCTGTGAAGCAGGGCGGAGCCTCTGGGTCGCTGGGACTGCACAGCAGCTTTGGAGGAGGCGCAGTGGTGCAGCGCCCCCTGCTGGCTCAGAGGAGGCAGGATGGCAGCGGTGGTCAGAGCGGGGTGGCTCCACACAAGCATCTGAGCACGAGTTTGTCCAAACCGCCATCGTCAGCATCGCCGTCGCCCCGAGACAGAGCCAGCCAGGCGCTGAGCCTCCGCGCCCTTAACCTGCAGAGCGTCGGCAAACTGCCGCCCACGAGCGGCCTTCAAGGAAGCAACACTAGCGGGGTGGCGGTAGCTAGAGCGAACCCACGGAGTAGTGGCAGTGGGATGGTCATAAAAGGAGGAGCGAAAGATGCTCGCACTGGAGGCGGAGCTCCAGAGCAGGGCATGACGAAGGACAAACTGACGGGTGGTGGCGCTGCTCGAGGGAATAGTGGCGTGAGGCAGGACGGCCGTAAACACGTGCTCGGCTCTCAGAACAGGAACCTGAACGAGCTCAGCACCGGCGACTCCGACGAGACTAGCACCAGCGAGTCAGAGACGGAAGACCCTCTGTTTCCTAGCAACAGCAGACCCAGCCGCGGCAACAACGCCACCGACTCTGACACGGAGACGGACTGGAGGCCGGCGCGGAGCCTCCTGGAACACGTGTTCGTCACAGACGTCACAGCCAACTTCATCACGGTGACAGTGAAGGAGTCGCCAACCAGCGTGGGCTTCTTCAGCTCCCGGAACCACTGAGCCGGGCGTCTGCTCGCTTCCTAGAACAGCTCAGGGTTCCTACACCTCTCTGGAAATCCAACACGCAGTCATTCCCGGCGCCTCCAGGGCGACCCTTCGGTTCCAAGAAACAAAAACACGGTGGAGAGATCGGATAGAGCAGGAAGCTCCTGACAGTCGGCAGTAGGAACCCTGACGTTCAGACCCCGTTCACACCTGTGATCAGTCTGCCGACCTTTAACCTGCAAACCGGTCACCTTCACAGGGTCAGAGGTCAGGCGACTTTCATACCTTTTTAGACCTTCCTACCTTCCTGTTAGGACGGAAAATGCATTAAAAAAAGTCAATAAAACAAAATGTTCCCTTCCTCTGAGATGTAATACACTACGACTGCCAGGAGGGGGCGCTAATGTAGGGCTCAGATTAAGCTCATAAATATTGTGTCGTCGTCTGATTGACAAACACAGTTTTAAACTGAACTATGTGAAAATGTTACTTTTTTGTATCTAAAGTTGAGAATTTGTGCTTGTAACGATAATTACGATTATCTGTCTCATGACCTCTGACCCCTCTTGCTCATCCCGTTCTGTTTCTGTTCTGCAGCCAGCGCCCACCGTCACGAAATGGAAGGGTAAAATGTATTACCCTTCCAGGACCTGAAGCTCAGTCAAGCTCCACTCTGACAGCCAAACCATCTGTTCTCTGATTGGATTGTTAAATTTGTGATTCACGTGATATTGACCAATCAGCTGAAAGGAAGAAAATTGGGTCAAAATTTGTACTTGTAAGTTAAAAGTGACAGAGTGAGGGAGCAGAGAGGTTTACACTTCAGATCTGTAACCTTAACAAAAAAAATGTGTAACCTGTGTAAATATTTTTTAGACACACAAATTCTCATCTACAGATGCACAAACATAACGTTTCTTTAGATATTTTAGTTTACAAAGTTCTAAAAAGATTTACGAGCACAGTTTGACTCCACACTAATGAACCTAACAGCTGATTGCTGCCATCGTGGAGGGAAAAGTCTGTATGTTTGTTTGAACTGCAGGATCGTCCTCGCAGTTTAAAGTTTCGTCTGTACGGAGCACGCTCAGGTCGAGCAAACAAACAGCTGCTCGTTGTCCGCATATAAACACTCCCGCCTCACCTCTGGTTTCTCTCTGTCTTAAACACAGAGAGCGTCAGGTGTTTGTCAGGAAGGTGTTCAGGTATGAAAGTAGGTCAGGCCGAGGTCCCACGCAGCTGAGACCAAACCAAAGTCAGGATGAGGCTTTGATGATGTCGTAAATGACACATTGATTTCATTGGCTGGAAGCCCCTCGAAGCTGGCGCAGGCTTCTGCACCCTCTGCTTCTGCTTAGAAAGGAAGTGACGTCCTTCTCGGCGCTTCCTGATCAACTCAAGCTTCCCCACAGACCAGCCAAAAAACCCTGGAAGACAGAATTATTGATCCGATTGTTTCTGAGCGACACGCCGCCCACATCCACAGCTGCTGTCACTGACTGTCACAGCCAGCGGCTCCGAGGCGTGGCTTCCGAGGTGTGAAGCCACGTGAAACCACGCCACTATGAGTTGGTTTGTTTCTCGTCCGAAAATCCTTTTTGTTCAGTCGCCCGATAAAAAGATGATGGAAACCGTCCGCTCGGTTTTTCTCACATCGTTGAAGCGTCTCGGGCCGCGTCACGGATGCGTTTTGGTGCTACGCCGCTTACAGCACAGTCCGACTACTCTGGCGTCCTTCAGGAGGCTTTGTGTGCTCGCCTCCTCAGGTCTGATGGGTGTCTAAACGGGGTCTGGACTCACAGGTGGACAGCGCCTCTCCGGTGCCTCAGGTTCCCCCCTCACAGCAGGACTGTTGGACCGCCGCTCGGCAGGATTAGCTCCAGGAGGACATTTGTGTTTGTTGGACGTACGTGGCTTCTTCCAGGGCAGCATGTTTAAAAAAAGAAGTTTCCTCCGTCGTCTTTCAGTTCTCTTTGGACCAAAGCTGTTACGAATGTGTGTCGTTCTCAGTGTGGTATCGACAGTGTTTCGTGCACTACGTGCAGTATAAGCTCATGAGACATCCCATAATCACTTCTATATATGTACATATATATATTTAGCAGTTTTGTACCATTTGAAACCATCGCCGTGTCTTTTGGAGGTGAAATATGTGTTAATTTATATTTGTAAATATGTCTTTCATGTGATATGTAACGATCTATGGGTGCTCATTTTGGCTTTTAGCGTCACGCACCTGTAGCCTGAAATAAACCGGAAGCACCTGAAACTTCACGGCTCGCTCGGTGTGTCTGTGCGCTGCCGTGTTTCACCACCAGGTGGCAGCGCTGCACAGAGAGCAAAGTGGATGCAGGTGCTCGCTGACGGTTGATGACCAGGAAAAGTTTTAAATGAATGCAGTTAACAGGAAGTTTGCAGGTCATACGTAGGTCATATGATGTCACACCAGTGACATCATCAGGTCACATGAACGGAGGTCCAACTGAGACAAAGCACTGTTGATAAATCAGCTCCTGTAATAATGTGATAAACGCAGAATTGATTTTTCTTGTGTTAAAAAGGACATTAACCTGTAAATAAAATTACATGTTAATAGACTGTTTTAAAAATATGTTTAAAATAAAAAGCAAATATTTTAAACATTTAAAATGAATAAATTATAATTAAAATGTTTTTCAAAACAATATTAAAAAGATCAAAATAAAACACCATGAATAAATATTAGAATTTAAAAAAACGCCTTAATTGTGATTTAATAATAATTAACAGGGAATGTGATGAATAATTTTAAAAAGTCAATTACAAAGTAAAATACTGAAATTAAAAAAGTTTAATGATTTTTGTAAAATTGTATTTTAATAAGCAAACCAAGAGATTTCAGAAACTATAAATAATGAAATCAAATCTGTTGTCAGGTTGATGCCACAGCAGCCATAAATAAACGGTTTCTTCTTTATGTTTAACGGTGACTCTATAAGGAGAAACGAGAGTGAAGCACATGATCGTCATGGTTATCGTCGTGGTTATCGTTCCATTAACATACAAACTGGACTGATAACTTCTCAGTTCTCACAGACGTGTCGGCTCAGACTGTAAAAATAGGAATTCAGTTTATTATTTCTAATAAGTAACATACGTTTTAGTGTTTCGCAGATTCTTGAAATAGTTGTTTTGATTTTATGACAATAAAAATGGTAAAATTTTAAATATAGACATAAATATAATACAGGTAGCAGGACCTCGTCAATGTTTCTTCATTTTTTCTGTTTTTTGTACTGAATTTGATAAAAAGGTGTTTTACAGGCGCAGCTCCTCCAACTGGAATCAGCTGAAAAGTCATAAACACGTCTTTAAAAAACCTGAGATGATATTTCTGAGATGAATTTTAAACGGTTTAAGCCAGGGGTCCCCAATCCCAGTCCACGAGGTCCCTGCAGGTTTAGATGTGTCCTTGATCCATCACAGCTGATTTAAATGGATAAATGACCTCCTCAACATGTCCTGAAGTTCTCCAGAGACCTGATGATGAACTCATCATGTAATTCAGGTGTGTTGACCCAGGATCAGATCTAAAACCTGCAGGACACCGGCCCTCGTGGAATGAGATTGGGGACCCCTGGCTTAAGGCCTCAGAGTTAATCATGAGGGGGCGTGGTCAGATAGGCCACACCCTAATCGTGAAACTGACATTGGGGTAAAATGATGCACAGAGACAGATTTTATATCGGGCTGTGGACGAGTTCATTTTAACTCTGTGGGTCTGACTCAGTGTGGAGCCTCCAGTGGACGTCAGGGGAACTGCAGCTTTGTTTCCGTCACTTTGAGCTTCCAGGTTTTCATGAAAAACTC